ATGAATGTATCTACTTGCTGGGACTATGCTAAGTTACACACACACACACACACACACACACACACACACAATTTTCCCCATCAAATGCTCACATTTATCCTATTACCCAACAAGTGGGTCTTATTAGCCCCACTTTGCAGGTGGCAACACTGAGTGACGCCACCATTGGTGAATGTTAGAGCCAAGATGCACACCATGGTCTCCCCCAGCCTGCACATTGACTTCAGGGTAAGGCCCTTAGGCATTCTGCCTTCCAGGTCACAGTGAAGAATGCTCACTCTCCTGGAAGAGTTCATGGAACTGCTAAGAATGCTCCACAGCAATCCTCAGTGCAAGGAGGGGAGAGAGGAATGCCCTCATTACACAAGGATGTTTCTTAGGCAGCATTAGTTTTAAAAACCAAGAACTTATACAACCCAAATGCTTAAGAGTGCTGTTAATTAAATGACAGTCACCCACAGAACTGATGAAAGCCATAGAAACTGCTCATCGGGTATTTTTATTAACGTGTTCTAATGTTCAACATAGAAACAGTGTAGATCCAAAACTACACAAACACACACACACACACACACACACACACACACACACCCCTCAACCCCACAATATTTTCAGGAAAAAAGACAGTAAAGAAATTCTTCCAGAATGCTAGACTTGATTGATTCTGGTAGAGGATCATGTGGATTTCACATTTTCTTCCTTAGTTTTCTTTTTCTAGTTTTTCCACATGAACATGTTTACTTTGATAATTATAATATTTTTCGGAGACTTACACTCTTACGTACTGTATATTTTTGTGCTCTGACCTTGTTCTAAGCATCACTTGGATTCTGGATTTTTTTTTTTTTAAAAGAAATGGTCAATGTTTTTAATAGGTGGTATATGGATCTGTTTTTAAAGTTTTAAAATTTAATATCTTCCAAAGGACTTCAAAGGCTGTCCCAATACTGGCATTCAGACAGAGCAAAGGTAGATGAAACTGGGGAGGAGACAAAAAAATGTCTTTTTATTAAAGTGGAAAATATACTCTATAGCCATCTCCACCTGAACTGTGCCTCACAAGAAGAGCGCTGGGTGCACAGCTGGCAGTGAGTCTCGTCTCCCTATTTCTGGGTTGTCTCCTAGCTTGGGGGCAGGGTGAAGACCAAACACAGGATATCTGGCCGACTTCAGAGGGCACTGGGGAAAGGTGGGTAGGTGTAGAAAACAGCATCATCCTCTTCCCTCCTGTACCTCACCCACATGCTTCTCTCAAGTTCAGCAAGACTGAGTGGACAGAATTTGAGCAATGGACCATCTAGTGGCCACTCTATCTGTAGGCCACAGTTATTAGCTTTTGATTTTCCATCCTCTGGTAGTCTGTGGCTCATACAGGATCCTTATTTGCTGAAAGCTTTCTAGATGTGCTTACAGCAAACTCTATTCTGAAAATAACTTAGAATAACCACTGTCATTTCCAACCTCTAACTAATAAGCTCTCTGTACAATAAAATAAGCCAAGTCTACTCCCAGGCAAGGCCTATATGTTCCTGTGTGTAGTTAGGGAAGAGGCAGTCTGCTTGGTTCTCAAGCAGCAACTTGATAACTCACCTTGAACTTCAACCCACCTTGAACACAGCACACCTCCCCCATTCCTTTGCCACAACATCTGTGGTAACAGCTTTGCAGGCGCAGCACTACCTCGGGCTACCTGTCCTACCAAGCAGCTTCTCCTCAAGCCACCTCCCCACCCACCCCTCTGGGAACAGGGCCAGCCCAAACTCCCTGTTCTTGCGGCCACGGAGACTGGCTCAGGGAAGGGCACAGGGACCAAGACAGCCAATCAAAATCCTTCCTGGGGTTTTCTCTGTGGAGCTGGGCAAGACAGGATTTGCACTTACTGGTGTGAAGGTAGGAGCCAGCCAGCAGCTACACAAGGCAGCACATGCCTCTTTTATGCTGATGATACTTTGAGATGGCATCCACTACTTTTTTTTTTTTTAAGTTTTCAAACAAAGTTTATTAGCGAGGAAAAGAGAATAAGGAAGAAGATCCATGGCAGAAAGACATGCCATGGGCAAGTTTTTCAAAGAAAAACCGCCTCATCCATCACTTTCAACTGAGTTCTTTTTTAAAAAAAAAATCTTCCACTTTTTGATGAGGACATGGATGTTTTCATTTTGAAAGGAAAATCTTTGCATTCCAAAACCACACATCAAAGTTGGTGTGGTGGGGATCCCGGGGAAGGCAAGCCGTCTCTGTCTCTCGTGGAGACAAGACAGCACCCCCTTCCCCCAGGCCTCCAGAGCCCTCTATCACCACTGTTCTCCAGGCCATGAAGAAGCTGCTAGCTCTTGTTTCCCTTCCACTAGAAAGCCACAGTCTGTGTTTATTTTAACAACATCTGCTTCAGAGAATCCATGAAGTTTCTCTACTTCAAGCTCAGGTTCTTAGGGACTAGACTTCCACTCTTCTAAGGGTTTTATTTCGCAGATTGTACGTGTGGGCTTTAGAATTCCAGTTGTAACCGTGGTTAAAAAATGGGAACAGAGAAGCTGTTCCTAGAGTGTGTAATGTTTGGGGAAAAATGCTTGTTGTTGCACTAGGAACATACATTATCAAGAGTGAAGACATTGGCTGGGTGTGGTGGTTGCCTGAGTCCAGAGGTTTGAGACCAGTCTGGGCAACCAGCAAGACCTAGTCTCTACAATAAATCAAAAAATTAGCCAGGCATTGTGGTGTATGCCTGTGGTTCCAGCTACTTGGAAGGCTGAGTCAGATCACCTGAGCCCAGCACAAGGCTGCGGTGGCTGTGAGTGTGCCACTATACTCCAGCCTGGGCTACAGAAAAAAAAAAAAAAGAAGATGAAAATGAGTGATGCCCACCCTATTCAGATTGAAACTACAAGGAAAGTGAGACACAATCACCATTTTGGACACATTTTATTATGTAGAAATTTCCAGCAGAGTTATCATTAAGTACCTTTGTCAGCAGATGCCTGTGAGAACCAAGCTTGGAAAACAGCCACAGGCAGGTCTGCATCTGTTCTTCCCCAAAACTCCACATCTCAGAACAGAAACAACCAGCCCAGCCTCAAGGTGTGAGGTGAGGGACTATCTGAGGTACAGCCTGGCTCAAGCTTCCCCAGCATCACCCACACACAGCTCTGGATGAATGACAGAAACTTCACAGGTAGAGATTAAAGTGCAACCCCAAATGACAAACAACTCTCTTGGGTGGTGCCTGTGCAGGAAAGGCACCGGAACAGAATCTGTAGATCAAATCCATCCCAATCCCCATTCCTACCCGAAGTTAACCTCTAAACTAGCTGATCTTATTATTCATTGATCTTAAAAGCAAACCAAATGTATGCAGCATCTTTTAAAAAGTCATGTAAACGTTGCAAAGTCTTTAGGGGCTATTTATAATCTGAAGAGATTTATTAAAAAATTACTGGACTTATTAAGACTACAAATACTAGCCCCTCCTCCCCCCATGAAAAAAGCAATTGTTACAAAAATATAAAAAATATACTAACTTCTACTATTTAACCTTTCCTCCAGAAGTCTCGTGACTCTGGGACACCTCCTGGTTTAAAGACCAGACAGCAAGCACAAGTGCAATGTTTTCAAATTTAGGAAGGAGAAGTTTCAAAACATTCCCTTTTGTTATTTGAGACTGTGGCTACTTTCTTCACAGGGACCATAATGCTGTGAGTAATGACAGTTGGAAGTTTTCTACTGCATTCCTCTGCATGGACCCAGTATAGAAATTATGGCATAGGAGGCTGCATTCAAAACTCACTCCTCAGCCTCTTCAGTTCAGATTTCTCTCCAGCTCCTTCAGTTCCATCTTGGGACATGCTAGGTTCTCAGACTCCTGAGCTTCCCTAGCTTCCCACTGGGGCAGACAGATGGTAATGGAGAGAGGGCCCCCAGTAAGGGGACAGAGGACGGAATCTGCTGCCGTCCGTGGCTCCATGTCCTTGGCTAACGCCAGGGAGCTGTGTGCATGGTGGACGACACTCTCCTACCCTGGAGACACAACACATGCTGCAGGTCAGAGTCTGCAGCCAGAGGAAGTAAAATGTGAAGTAAACACTTTGCGTTAAAATACTTCAGTACACTCTGAATCACATCTCACTAATTTCTCCACATCAGCCAAGCTACCAGGCACTTTTATCAACTAAGACCTAGAGACAGACCAAGGTCAGTTTGAAACAATTCAAGATGATAGGGACTCCCCCTCCTGAATTAGGACGTTTTTGTCTTTTGTTGTCCCTGCCACCAGCAGGGGGCGATATGTACCAAAGCTCAATCAAGCCCTTGAGAGAGACTGTGAGTGGGTAATCATTGGGATGGATTCACACGCCACCTGGCAGAATCTCTCCACATAGCTGGGATGCGGCTTGACTGTACCCTGAGTCCCTGAAGTCCAGGGAGACCTCTCAAACAGGAGTTCCAGCCTATGCATGATCAAGAGAATCCTTCATTCCCAAAGCCTTCCGTGTGCAGTCCTCCCCACTTGCTGCGTTGCTCAACTGGTTCAGTTTGGAGCTTGGCTCACACCCATTCCTCCCCTGCAGAACTCTCCGACCTTGGCTGCAGCCAATGGTGCTGTGCTACTGCCCTCATCACTGCTGAGACAGGCCGCCTGCCTCCTGGCCAGAACGACAGACCCTCTTCAAGCCCCCCAGACCTCCAGGCTCTGCTGTTGTTGGGACTAGGTGCCCATACCGCTAGGGTTTATTTCACAGATCATGCTGGTGGGTCTGGATTTCCAGCCCTCACCATGGTCGGGTCACAATTCCCCGGCACCTGCTTGCCTCTCCAGATCTGAAATAATCTCAGCCAACACACCCTGGTTGTTTAAAGTCCCAAGGGAACTGTCTAAAAGCAAAAACAATAACAGATTCAGAGAACCCTGGCCACATCTGCTGAGCAAATCTCCTCTACTTTGGCTCCATAAAAACAGAAAAACAACAACAAATAAAACAAAAACGGGGCATCTGAGACATCATGAACTCATGTTTGCTCAGAAGAGAAGCGCTCCCAACATCAAGGCACAAGGAAAGAAGTCAGAAGTCTCCTGGGGCAAAGTGATGATGAACGTGACCTGTCACCTCTGTGCGGTCGGAGGCAGAGTCACTTAGTGAGCTGCGTTCAGCCTGGCCTGGACAGGCATCGGGAGGGAGGCCCAGGAAGGGGGCCCTCCCCTGGGCCCAAGGGGCCCTCACGCATACTTCTCCAGGAACTTCACGTGAAAGTCCTTCACCTTCTGTAGCACCGTCTTCAATTTCTCCACTGGAGGCAGAATGGTCATTCTGTAAGGAGAGAGAGCAGTGTCAGTCGGGCTGCTCCGGAAAGGAAAACGAGTCCAGGGCTCATCCTTCCCCTCTGGGGGTAGGGCAGAGCTGCGCAGGGAGGAACAGGCCCTGTCCACATCTGGCCAGTATCTGGTCAGTGCCTGCAACCCTGGTAAGCCCTGCCCCTTTTGTCATACATTTATTCTTTTTCTTTTTTTGAGTCATAGTCTCACTCTGCCGCCCAGGCTAGAGGGCAGTGGCATGTTCATGGCCACCGCAACCTTGACCTCCTGAGCTCAGGCAATCCTTCTGCCTCAGTCTTCCAAGAACCACAGGTACACACCACCACACTTGGCTATTTGTTTGATTTACTGAGAGATGAGGTCTCCCCATGTTGCCCAGGCTGGTCTTGAATCCCTGGGTTATGGCAATCCTCTCATCTCAGCCTCCCAAAGTGCTGGGATCACAGGTGAGCGCCACCATGCCTGGCCCACACATTTTCTTAATACATGAGAAAAAAGCAACAAACTGGGGTAGCATTTAGGCTCACTAAGATAACCCACTCATCACCACAGAAGGCCTACATAGCCCTTTATTTTTTTGGAGACCTGGTCTCGCTCTGTCACCCAGGCTGGAGTGCAGTGGAGCAATCATAGCTCACTGTAACCTGCAACTCCTGGGCTTGAGTGATCCTCCCACCTCAGCCTCCAGTGTAGCTGGAACTACAGGCCCATGCCCAGCTAACTTTTTTTTTTTGTAGAGACAGGTATCACTATGTTGCCCAGGCTGGTCTCGAACTCCTAGGTTCAAACAGTCCTCCTGCTGTGGCCTCCCAAAATGCCAGGATTACAGGTGTGAGTCACTGCACCTAGCCCCACACAACATTTTGACTAGTGGGCAGAACTTTCTCTAGAGCATGATTCTTGGTCTTGGCTGGAGATGCACAGTGAGATTTCACTCCTGCTGGATGGGCCTTTTTTACCTCTACCATTCATTCTCTGACAGTGAGACAACTTCCGGTCACAACTCTCCCTCCAAGGAATTCCCAAGCTGTTGTGGAAACTGATACCTCCTGCAGATGTCCGTGCTTCCTGACCCTGCCAACAGCTTTCCTGCTTGCACCACTTCCCAATGAGCCATGGATCACTGAGGTGAGCCTATCAAAGGGTGAAATGCCCACTGGACATGGTTTGTACAGCTGGGCACACTACCCAGGACCTTGACTAAGTCAAGGCTTGGCTCTCGGTGCTAACAGCTCATGCCATTTCTTTTCTGAGCATCTGCCACAGACAACATCTGAAAGCAACGTGCATGTAAAAGCTGCTGTTCTGAGCAGAGCTGACCTTGGCTCGGGGTCCCTTGCTGAACTGCTCTACCAGCTCTGAGGGGTCAGCATGCCTGTGTGCACCGGCAGAGCCAGGTATGCCCGAGAAAGGTGTCACGCAAGTGGTGCCAGTACCACTGCATGTCAGGCACAGCACCTGAGCAGGCTGGGGGCTCACAAGCAGTGCCGTGGCCATGGTGCAGTCCAGAGTCATCCAGCTGCTGCCGCGTGCTAGCACTGCTGCAGGCACCCTGGATGCCATGTGCTGCCATCATGCAGTTTGAAAGCGGCCGGGAAATAAAGAAGAAAACACACTACTCAGAACATTTCAGATGGTAATGTGACAGACAGTGGTGGCAAAGGGGAGAAACAGAATAGTCAAGGAAGATCCAGCCCAGGGCATGACCCTGGAGTCCACCAGTGTTCCTTCATCCTCAGGCAAGTTCTGAGTTTGGCTCTGCATAGGCCAGGCCAGGGGCAGGAGGGGCAGCAGTATGAGTCAAGGGAGGACAGGCCTCTCCACACATCTTAGTCTCAGAATCCCAAGATTCTCTGGACACACCAGCCCTGCGGAGGGAGGAAGTCGTACCTGAAGTGGTAAGTGCCTTCCCTCTGCCCAAAGCCGCTTCCGGGCACAACACAGATGCCAGTCTCTTCTAAGAGCTTCATGCAGTAGAACATGTCGGGGGCCATTGCGTGGGCCTACGGGGGCAGGGAAGAACTTATAACTTGTTCCTGGCTGCATACCATACAAACACACCACTGACAACTCAAAGCCAAAGGCACCCCACATGGTGCCTATCTTTCCGTGGCAGTGCTCTCCTTCACACCCCGTACTGCGGGACCAAGGCAGGACACTGGGACACTGCTGGTGGCTGGTGCAGAGGACAAGGCAGCTGTTTGACAAGCATCGACAACAGCTTCCCAGACATCAAGCCACAGTATGCTCTGAGAACCGGCCCTGAGGCTGCCCTCTGGGGGCTTTCAGGGAGCAAGTTTCTCTGGGGCACTGTCAGCGGTGCTTCCCATACACTAGTTTGCACAACCACCACCTGGGGAGCCTGTCAATACAGATTCTCAGGCTCCAGCACAAGGAATTCTGATTTCATAGGGCTTAGACTTTGAATGTTTAACAAGGTATTCAAGAGGCCTGAGTTTGGGGTAAGGACACCACTTTCAGAAACACTGCTCTGCCCCTGATCCTTAAAGCAAGTCTGTGGCACCCCATGAGAACTTGCTGGAAAAGCAGTCTCTGGCCCCTTGCAGACTCAGTGAACCAGAACTGGCATTTTCTTTTCTTTTTTTTTTTGAATTGGAATCTCACTTTGCTGCCCAGGCTGGAGTGCAGTGGCATGCTCACAGCCACCGCAGCATCAACCTGCTGGGCTCTGGTGACCCTTCCGTCTCAGTCTTCCAAGTAGGTGGAACTACAGGTGCGCACTACCACTCCCGGCTAATTTTTTTATTTATTGTAGAGATGAGGTCTTGCCACGTTGTCCAGGCTGGTCTCGGACCCCTGAGCTCAGGCAATCCTCTCGCCTCAGCCTCCCAAAGTGCTGGGATTGCAGGCTTCAGCCACCGTGTTTGGCCCGGAACTGGCATTTTCACAGACCCCAGGTGGTGGGTGAACACACTGAAGTTTGAGAAGTGCTGCTCCAGGATACAGTGGTTGGGTGGAGAAGATGCCTGGTTGCCTCCCCAGCACTGCATCACACTGGGACACCTCCCTTGAGAGCAACCACATTAATAGAGCCCAGACCAGCACCTCTCCCTGGGATTGGCCTCACATCTGCCCAATCCCCACAGTGTGCTGCTGGGGCTGGGCCTCCGAGAACCTGATTTTACACAGTAAATACTATCTGTCCCTGAGGTCTACAAAGTTCAGAACCTCTGGGGCCAGCGCCTCTGCTCCCCAAGGCAAGAAGTAGCCCCAACCTGATGTCTCAACTTAACCTGCAGAGAGAGAGCCAGCCCAGCCCCATGCTGCATACCTGAGCTGCCTCCACAGCCTTGGCAGGAATGAAGATCCGAGGAAAGGCATACATGGCTCCCTGCAAGGGGTTGCAGTGAATTCCTGGGACCTGGTTAAACAGGTCTTCTGTCAGCTTTGCTTTTTTGGCCAGATTGCCCAGGACTGACTCCTTTTCCTGAGGAGAGACACAGAAAGCACGCGAGTCAGTATCTCTGAATAAAGATTAGCTCCGGCCACTAGAGGCTGTTTCTTCAACGCTGGGATAAGTGGACACACTGCTGGAAGGAGAGCTCATGTGTACATGAGCACAGGAGAACAGGGTGGCAGGGGAGCACAGCTCCTGCAGTGATCTGCTCCACAGTGCCCTGGAACAGGGGCCACACGAGTACCCAGGGAGTCCTGGGCCACAGGCAGATCCTGGGTATTCTGTTCTTACACCAGGATGTCATTCCTGAAATGAGAAAAAAAAACAGTCCTTGCCTGCCAAGCTGAATGGCCTTGGCTCCAGATGGAACACCCTAGGCCATGCTTCTAGGAGAAATGGCCTTACTACTTCTGGGAACCACCCCCACCCCCATCTGTGTGGTGTGTGCGGAGCACATGACCCAGGCAGAGTTGGTCAGAGTCAGTGACTGGTCAGAGCTGGAGGTATGTCCAAAGCTAGGGCAGAGTCGTCCAGGACTTCTGCAAGTGCTGCTGGAAAAGGGGGATGGGCTGTGCCTGCAGATGGACAGACAGACTCAGGGTGGCCTATCCACATGTGGGAGCAGGGCTTAGCCTTCAGTCATGACACATGCTACCACACATGGACCTGGAGGAGACTGTGTCAAGTTAAATAAGCAAGTTGCAAAAGGACCAACACTGGGATTCCACTTATGTGAGGCACCTACACTAAGTGAATTCACAGAGATAGCAAGCAGAAAGGCATTGCTGGGGCTGGGGGAAAGGCTATGGAGTCAGTGGGATTTTACTTTTTTTTTTACTACCATTAGCTACTGTGGGAGGAGTTAGTGTTTAACAGGTCTAGAGTTTCAGCTTGAGATGATGGAAAAGTTCTGGAGACAGATGGCAGTGATGGTTGTACAACAATGGGAATGTTCTTAATGCCACAGAACTGTACACTTTATAATGACTAAAATAGTAGAGTTTATGCTACATATATTTTTATAATTTTTTTTAAGACAGGGAATCCTTTATCCGAAGCCCATCAGAGAAATGGACAGCTTGGGTCTGTAACAAAGCATTCATGTTTTTAAGCATAGGTAAGTAATTGTATGAGAGCATACACTACTATATATAAATTAACTGATCAGACCACAACTTCTCAATGTTTAAAACAGAATATGCTTCCCTGTAAAAGCAGTACCTTTGTGATATTTTAACTTTATTTTAACTTTATTTTTTATTTTAACTTTATTTTAACTTTATTTTTTATTTTAACTTTATTTTTTAAATTTTTTATTTATTGTCTTTTTAAATTTTGAGTTGGAGTCTCACTCTGTCGCCCAGGCTGGAGTGCAGTGGCAGGCTCACAGCCTCTGCAGCCTCAACCTGCTGGGCTCTGGCGATTCTTCTGCCTCAGCCTTCCAAGTAGCTGGAACCATAGGCTGAGGCATGTGCCACCATGCCCAGCTGGTTTTTTTTATTTATTGTAGCAACGAGGTCTCACCAAGTTGCCCAGGCAGGTCTCAAACCACTGGACTCAGGCAATCCTCTCACCTCCGCCTCCCAAAGTGCAGGTATTATAGGCATGAGCCGTTGCACCTGGCTGACATTTTAACTTCAGTATTCTTCTCCTTCTTCCTCTCCCTCTCCTTTAATAGAATCCACACCAACCTCCTCATATAATCCTTCTCAAGGGCAGCCATGTCCTCACGGGCCTCAGAAAACTCGCCTTCCTTCATCCCCTTCACACCAGTGAACAAGGTCATGCTTGGCACACATCTGACCACACTTGTGGTCTAGGTGAGCCCCCGCCGCAGCAATGGCTGTGGTGTTGCTCAGCATGCACACAGCCCTCTGGACCTTGGCCAGGTCTCTAGCAGGCACCACAGTGGGAGGCTGGGTAATTAATGCCAACCTTGAAGTCAGTGGGACACCAAGCCACAAACTGGATGGTATGCTTGGTCTTGATGGTGGCAATGGCAGCACTGACATCTTTGGGAACCACACCACCACAGTACAACAGGCAGCAAGTCATCTATATACCAGGGTGAGGGCCACATTTCACCAACTGGTTGGCTAGCTCAAAGCAAGCATTGGTGATCTCTGCTACAGAAAGCTGTTCACGGGGCGTATGTGGCCAGAGGGAAGTGAATGTGAGGATAGGGTACCAGGTTGGTCTGGAATTCTGTCAGGTCAACATTCAGGGCTCCATCAAATCTGAGGGATAGGTTGGTATAGGTTGGGCGCTCAATATAAAGGTTTCTACGACAGATGTCATAGATGGCTTCATTGTCTACCATGAAGGCAGAATCAGAGTGCTCCAGGGTGGTCTGGGTGGTGAGGATGGAGGTGTAGGGCTCAACTACAACTGTGGAAACCTGGGGGGGCTGGGTAAATGGAGAACTCTAGCTTGGACTTTTTGACATAATCCACAGAGAGACATTCCATCAGCAGGGAGGTAAACCCAGACCCAGTTCCCCAGCAAAGCTGTGGAAAACCAAAAAGCCCCGAAGACCTGTGCACTGGTCAACTAGCTTGCGAACTGGGTCCAAGATGAGGTCAATGATCTCCATGCCAATGGTGTAGGGCCCTTGGGCATAGTTGTTGGCAGCATCTTCGTCACCTATGAGCTGCTCAGGGTGGAAGAGCAGGCGGTAGGGGCCAGTGCAAACTTCATCAATGACTGTGGGTTCCAGGTCTACAAACATTGCCCTGGGCACATGTTGCCAGTACCCATCTCACTGAAGAAGGTGTTGAAGGACTCATCTCCTCCCTCAATAGTCTTGTCACTTGGCATCAGGCCATCGGGCTAGATGCCATGTTCCAAACAGTAGAGCTCCCAGCAGGCACTGCCAATCTGGACACGAGCTTGGCCAATGTGAATGGAGACTCACTCACACATGGTTGCTGCTTTGCAGCTGCCAAGTGATTGACAGATACGACGAGGAGAGGTTGTTGCTTCTTACAGTGTGACTCTTAGGAGGCTGATGTAAGAGTACCTGCTACCACAATTTTTAAAAAAGATGTGAGCCGGCAATTGACTTCCAGGTGATATGATCCACAAATTCATGATTTTGTTTAAGCCAGTCAGAGTTGGGTTGTTGTCACTGGCATTCAAAGAACACTGACTGGACCATACCAAGCCGCAAGGCTCCAGGCAGGCCGCAGCTGAGAACCAATGCTGTGCCCATGCTTCCCCCCCACCTTTTTTTTTTGAGTCAGGGTCTCACTCTGTCGCCCAGGCTGGAGTGCAGTGACATTGTTCACAGTCACCACAGCCTTGACCTTCTAGGCTCAGGTGATCCTTCAGCTTCAGCTTTCCAAGTAGTTGGAACTATAGGCATGTGTCACCACGCCCAGTTAATTTTTTGACTTATCGTAGAGACAATATCTTGCCAGGTTGCCCAGGCTTGTCTCAAACCCGTGGGCTCAGGCAATCCTCTTACATCAGCCTCCTAAAGTGGGATTACAGGCTCAGCCACTGCACCTGGCTCCCCCTCCTTCTTTTGTGTTTCACAGTCCCCACGGGGTGTTATCAGGACACAATCCCCTTCCCTCGGGGTACCTACTACCCATGGCGCTCACCAGTGAGGAAGAGGAAGGGTTTCCTCACCCACACATGTTCATAGTTCTCCCACTTTAACACATGGCCCGGCTGCATCTTCAGTCTTAACCAATCTGTGGAAGTAGTTCAGGCACCAGGAGGAGCTATGAGGGCCCCTGGAGGCTACACCTCCAGGAGGCTACTGTCTAGCTCCCTGGAGACGGGATGGTCATCAGCATGGCAGGAATTCACCCGCAACCCTGGCAGGAGCAGTGACACACACAGGTCACAGCCAACTCACCCTGCTGAACTGCTCAAAGGACTCCTCTCCTGGCACAGGGGGGTTCACAACAATGTCCATGGCAGCCTGACCAGACACTGGTGGACACAGACGCACTGACAGCAGCTTCACCAGCTGGCCCTTGATCTCGGGGTGCAGGTTGACCACCTCCATGTAGCCTCCTCTGTAGCCACACCTGGAAGGGTGAGGAGAGGGAGGAGCCCACCAGTTACAGAAAGATCTCAGGGATGTACAATTTGGACAGAATGGCCAGTGTGGCTGAGTTCTTGCTCATGGAGGTGAACGGAAGTGGCCTGTACAACTTCACTTCTGTATAAGGAAAAGCATATGCTCTCCTCTCTTCCCTTTCCCACTTTCTAAGAAATAGTCAGTGTGGGACACCACAGGCTGGAGGGCAGCGCCACCGTTCCCTTGATAGCTTCAGGTGCAATGCCTGCCCTGGGCTCCCCTGCCTTTGGACTGTTGTGTCAAAGAGAGACACACCTTCACCTGGCTGGAGCCACTGTATTTGTGGGCCTCTTCTTTTTTTTTTTTTTGAGTCAGAGTCTCATTCTGTTCCCCGGCTAGAGTGCAGTAGCTCATTCACGGCCACCACAGCCTCAACCTGCTGGGCTCAAGCGATCCGCCTCAGCCTTCTAAGTAGCTGGAACCATAGGGACACGCCACCATTCCTAGCTAATTTTCTTTTTTTTATTGTAGAGACAAGGTCTTGCCAAGCTACCCAGGCTGGTCTTAAGCCACTGGGTTCAGGCAATCCTCTTGCCTCAGCCTCCCAAAGTACTGGGATTACAGACGTGAGCCACCATGCCTGGCCTGGGCCTCTTTGTTATAGAAGCTTAGCCTGAAACCTAACTGACATACTAGCCCCCTCCTCAAAAGATGGGTATAGGCTTGGGGCTGGCATCACCCCCAAACAGGTTCCTGGGGCAGGCACATGATTCATATTTGCCAACAAGCATCTGTCAGCCTCAGGATGTTCTGGGATAATTTCTGCTCCCTGAAAACAAAGCCAATTCGAAATGAGAGCAGAGCTGAGAAAGAAAATGAGATAAAGAGCGCAAGCAGATTCAGGGTCTAAGGACATCTTTAAGCCCCTGATTCAACTCTATCTCTGGACTTTTTATGGATTAAAAAAAAAGAAACAGCCTCTTTGTTATAAGCCAGTTCAAGCTGGGCTTCTGTAATTTATAGCCAAAAGAATCCTGATTAGTCTATTCAAATCAAATGGAAATAAGCTGAGAATATGTGATGAGTTAAAAAAAAATATTTCTAAACCAAATCAGCGACATCAACCATACTTTCTGGAGCTATGACTGGTCTGTGACTGCCAATGCTTAGACCCATGACCACAGACATGTGGGCTTCCTGAGGTAGGGTCCTGGTTGCCTTCCTCTGTGCCTCTCCCTATCATGACCTCAGAGTGCCCAGCATGATGAGATGCTCAATAAAACGCTTTTGGGATCATGCTGCTGAACTGAACTGGCAAAGAAAGAGCCCACCTGATCCCTGGACTGTACTTTCCAAGGCGGGAAGATAAATTCTGGTATCTCAGAAAAGCTTCCCACAACAAAAATGGAAAGAAAGAACTTTCTGCTTAATCCTCTGTTGATGAACACAGAATCAAATTGAGAAAAGCAGTCTGATCCTAGGTAATCAAGTCCTGAGAACAACCAGACGTGACTCCAGAGACCGACATCCAGGGGACTCATTGGCAAGAGGTAGTCAGAAACAGGAATGGAGCAATGAAGATGTGGTAAACATGCATGAAATGAGTTAACAGAGAGCAGATGTGTTGCGGAAAAGAGATGACACAGCACACGAAACCCAAGCGAGGAGCCAGCACTGCTAAGGCAGACCAGAAAGACAAGCAAAAATGAACCGCTGTCCACATTAAATAACACCAAGAACAGTTTGGTGGTCATCCAGGGGACCACTCCCTCGACCTGGCCAAAATATTTCTTCCGGCTTCATAGTTACGCTGCTTCCAGCCTAACAACTGATAGCCCTTCCAGTGCTGATGCCTAGAATGTAAGAGAGGCCCCACAATGTGGGGAGTGAATGTCCTTGGCTGAAACTCAGTGGCCTTTCCTTTTCAGTCTCCTCTGCAGGGTGCCCCTCTTTTCCCCTAAGCTCCGAGCAGTGGGGGTCCAGGCCCGTCCTCTCTCTGTGAGAGACGCCCAGCCTTAGAGCTCTAACAGTCTAACAACCCACACACTGACAGCTCTTAATTTAATTTTTTTGAGTAGGAGTCTTACTCTGTCACCCAGGCTGGAGTGCACTGGCACGCCTCCAGCTACCACAGCCTCGATCTGCTGGATTCAGGTAAGCCTTCCACCTCAGCCTTCCAAGTAGCCAGAACCACAGGTGCACGCCACCACACCTAGCTAATTTTTTGATTTATTGTATAGATGAGGTCTCACCAAGTTGCCCAGGCTGGTCTCAAACTCCTGGATTCAGGCAATCCTCTCGGCTCAGATTCCCAAAGTGCTAGGTTTACAGGCATGAGCCCCCGTGCTCAGCCGACAGCTTTCAATTTTAAATCTCCAGCTGGATGTCGCCTGAGTTACAAGCTCACACATCCATCTCCCTCTGGACATCAAATTGGCATTTTTTTAGTTTAACATGTCCAAAACCAAACTCCAGCTCTTTTTTCTCAAACCTACTTCCCCCTCAGCCTTCTGCATCTGTTGATGGCAATTTTTTTTGAACAAAAAAAATTCGCCCCATCTACAGAGCTCCCTCCCCACCTTCCTTCAGGTGGTATCCCAAAAGCCAATTCAAGAGTGAGGCTGCCCTGGCTGAAGCCTGTGGCCAGACCACCTCCTACCTCTTTCTAGCTACTTTTCTCCATCTGACACAGGATTTTACCCTTTTGTCTGTTGCCTCTCTCTGCCGGAACTCTGTGAGGACAGGGATTGTGGGAGTCTGTCCGCTGGCTGTATCCTCAGTGCTGAGATCAGTACTGGACTCACAGGAAGTGCTCGATAAACATGAGCTAAATGAACAAATACAGGAGCACAGCTGACCCCTCACTGGCCCTCAGTCCCCCAGTATCTCAGGCATCCTGCACACAAAGCTTGGCCTGTCAGCCTGACAGCACTGGTTTTCCACTCAACCTGCCCTCCTCAGCCCACCAGATGTCAGTGTTGGAGCAATAGTGACAGGGCTGGTAGAAAACATCAAGTGTCAGGAGTTGCTGTGAGGTCCTATTTTTGTTTCCATCCCTTATCCATGCCTGGTTTCTTTCAAGTAGGGCCTTGTCTCATGTGTACCCCTGCACCAGGGCTGCTCCCACACCACTGGGCTCTCCCCTTGGGGAGGCATATCTGCTTGGGGAGGTACAGCCTGTCTCCTCCTCCTCAGGTCAACAGAAGCATAGACAAGGGCGGCCTTCTCTCTGTCCAAGTGTTCAGCTGAGGGAAGAGCAGTGGAGTGGGCAGTATCAGGGCCAGGCAGGCCTGGAGGCAACACAGGGGAGGTGGGGCCGACATACTCGCCCATGTAGCCCTTGGAGGTGGAGTGGAAGGAGACAAGCTCCACGTTGCTGGAATACTCAGACCCCATCTCATAAAGCACCTTCTTGAAGGAGTGGAATCTGCAGTCTGGAGAGTACACGTTGTCCTGGTACACCTGTAGGGAGGACATGACAGACAGTCACCAAGCCATGCTGAGCAACCTGAGCCCACACAGGCTGCTGAATGTGGCCGAGGGAAAACAGCCCCACAACCCAGGGGAGGGTACCGAGGCTCAAGGTTAGCCTGAGCCAGGTTGTGTGCCATGATGCCCAGCCTCCAACACCATGCCCAGGAGTGAGCCCAAATGTGCCTGGAGGAACTTTCTAGAATAAGCAAGGCGGCAAGGCCTCAGGCTGAAAGCTCAGCTTAAGACAGTTCAGGAGCTCATTTGGTTTCTCACCCACTCATTCCCACCCGATCTCCAGACTTCCTTTCTTCTGACCAGTAATGTCTTCTGACCAGTAATGACATTAAGGACTCCCATTTTCCCAAACGATTCTTTCTCCTAAAGCACAATGTTTACTTCTATCAGTATTAGAAATGACAGCAGCTCACATCCCTTTCTGGCCTCTTATCTGAAGAGTGGACACTATCAGGCTTCCTTTACAACACTTGCCAGCCTGAAATTATTCTGTTTTTCTGACTACTTTTCCCTGCCAGAGCAGCATCCACACCCATTTGGTTCTTTCCAATTCCCAGACTCTTATACTCAGCAGGCAGGCAGCCCCCTCTGTCCTCAGAGATTAACCTGACACACTCATTCTTGAAATCAGGAAACTGAGGCTTTCTGGGACCCCACGGGTCAGTGGGAGATCAGGCTAGCTCCATCTTCAACATACCAGGCATGCCCTCATCCTCGTCTTCCTCCCAGACTCAGGAGGAAAGCCAGGTCTTCCTGTTGCCCGTTCTCTCCTCTAGAGATGAAGACTGCAGGCCCATTTACTGTTAACTGGGACAACAATTTGATGTGTGTGTGTAGAGGGGCAAAGAATGGAGGCAGTGTGCTGGAAGTGACAACCAGCCAGGAACCGGACCGAAATGAAGAAATGAAAATAGCATTGGACAGATGCTCGAGTTTTTTCTTGCAAAGCAGAATGAACAGACCTCAGCTCCAGAAGGGGGCTCCAGAGGCAACAGTTATGAAGCTAAGATCCCTTCCTCAAGGACTGCTGTGAGAACTGACCGTGACAGTGGATAGAAGCACCAGGAAGCATGGAACCACAGCTTCTTGAGGAGAGAGCACCAGCCTTTCCGTTGATCTGCCCTCAGGAACTAACCTCCCCTGTTCTCCAACTGGAGGTCTGGGAGGATAGGACAGAGAGACCACCCTTTGCTCTGGGCCTGTTCCATTTGCATACTGTAACTCCCAGTCCACAGTGACTGGCTCAGTGATGGGTGTGTGACCCATGCTGAACCAATGAAGCTCGATTCTGAGACTGAGCTGGAACCGCCGGGTCAAACAGCCCTCTTTCTAGGCTAGGAAGATGACAGGCCGGAGTATGAAGGCAACACAGAGAGGGAGAACAGGGAGAGGGAGAGAGGATCAGGAAAACAAGGTCAAGTCCCTGGATCCAGCCACATACCTGTGGCCTCACCATCTTTTTATTTTCCTTTTTAAGTTTAAAGTGATTTGGGTTAAGTTTCTGAAATGCATAACTAAGAGTCCAAATCCATATAGGGATAATTTAGGTCACAATCACATAAGCTGTAACACTGAACAACTTTATCCTTGACCCAGTATCACTCCTCCAACACCAAGAAAGTTCTCTCTGCCTGCAATCAGACCTGGATCCCTCCATCCCCAGAAGAGAAGTCTCACCCCCACCGGGGGAGCTGGGCCACTCTTACCTCGTCAGCCATGAGAAAGAGCTTCTCTTCCCAGGCAAAGTGAATCACATCTTCTATGCACTTTCTGCTTTGTACCTGGCCTATAAAATTCCCAAGAAAACCAAAATGTAGACTGTAATGCAGCTTAAATTGTCCCCAGGTCAGAATCCCACCAGAATCATCCTGTGTTCCTTCAAGACCCCAAGAGACCACCCTCCCTACTTGCTGTGATGACGCAGTCAACCCCCACTGCAAGGTCTGGCTGCTTGTGTCTGACTCATTCAGGCTGGGGATGAGGCGAGAGCATTGTTTCACACCTAACTTTCTTGGTCTTTTGATGAGGGGAGTGTGTGTATATGTGTGAGCACAAGTGTATGTGTGCACACATATGTCTGTGCTGTAGCAGGAAGACTTGGAAGTGTCATCAAGAGCAGGAAAATAACGCTGAAGAGGTTATGTCTATCAGTTCAGCATCCCTGGCTGACGCTGTGCCAGCAGCCAACAGTGGAGAGAACCACACTAGCTGATGTGGTAACTGGGTGCAGGTTAGGGCACCTTCTCTCCAGAGGTACACACAAGTATCACAAGGTCAGGACAAGGCCTTTTGCGGCTCATGGTTTACCCTCAAGCTGGCACTTGGTAGGTACACAATAAATAACTGCAGAGCAAATGCTAGACAAGAGCCTGGACACCAGCCTTGGTGTCTCCTGTCAACTGCTGCAGGGAGCCAGCATCGCCAAAGACTGTGATGACGAGTACTACATGGCTTCTCTTGGCTCAGTCTCTCCCTTCAGGACATAACTCAACATGAACGAGGGAAACGCGCACCCTCATTTGGAGAAAGGATTGCAAACAGCAAGCCAGTAACCCACCCATTCACAGGAAAGGTCATAGACACAGGTAGGGAAAGGGGTAAATGCAACAGTGGGACCTGACCCAGTATTTCCTGAGATACCAGGAACATCTCACATGCTCACAACATCCTCTGGAAAAATACCACTGTAACAGGTTTGCCAACTTCTTAGCAAAGACCATATCTATATCTACGTATGTTACATATGTATCTAAGTTCGTGTACATATGTGTGTATATATACGCATGTATTATTTGTATATGCACATATATACATATATATCTTGATACAAAGCAGTATATAGAATGTTACCTTCTGGTTAAAAATAAAAATACCAGCCGGGTGTGGTGGATCATGCCTGTAATCCCAATATTTTGGAAGGCCAAGGTGGAAGGATCACTTGACCCCAGGAATTCGAGACTAGCCTAGGCAACATAGTGAGACTGTCTCTATAAAATTTTTTTAAAAATTTGCTGGGGGCCAGGCACAATGGCTCCCACCTATAATCCCAACACTTTGGGAGGCCAAGGTGAGAGGCTTGCCTGAGCCCACAGGCTCGAGATCAGCCTGGGCAACTTGGCGAGACCTTATCTCTACAATAAATAAAAAAATTTGCCGGGCGTGGTGGCGCATGCCTATAGTTCCAGCTACGTGGAAGGCTGTGGTGGAAGAATCACCTGAGCCCAACAGGTCAAGGCTGCAGTGGCTGTGAGCATACCACTGCACTCCAGCCTGGATGACAGAGTGAGATTGACTCAAAAAAAAAAAAATTAGCTGGACATGGGGGTATATGCATGTAGTGCCAGCTATTCAGGAGACCGAGGCAGGAGGATTGCCTGAGCCCAACAGGTCAAGGCTATGGTAAGCAGTGACTGTGCCACTGCACTCCAGTCTGAGCAACAGAGTGAGACTCCCAACTCAGAAAAAATAAAATAAAAATAAATCTGTCTAAAAAAAATACATATATGTATCTTGTAAGAGCATGGTATGATTCAGTCAGGATGTCCACCTTAAAACTATCTAAGCAATGAATCGATTCCTTCACTAAAGAACCAACTTTTCTCCTTCTGAGAAAGTGCCTATTGGGTTTCACATGAAGTGAGCTCCAGGTTTGGGATTCCAGGAGGGTGACAGGCCCTGGTTTCCACAAGGAACCAGACAGTTCTCACAGACCGACTGGGGCTGTCTACCTGGGGAGAGAACCTGCTTGTGAACCCTCCTGGTCTTGCCCTCCTATGCCTGGGATCCCATACACCGCGTCCTGTTAGAATGCAAGCAAGGAGCTGGGTTGGTGGCATGTGTCTGTAGTTCCAGCTACTTGGAAGGCTGAGGTGGAAGGATCGCCTAAATCCAGCAGGTCAAGGCTGCAGTAGCCATGAGTATGCCACTGCACTCCAGCCTGGGTGACATGAGTGAAACTTCAACTCAAAAAAAAAAAAAAAACAAAGAATGCAAACAAGGACTTGAACACCAAAGCACACAAAGCCATGTTCACTAAATGCTAGAGGGAACACAAGAGGAACTAAGCAAAACGCAGAACCTGGAAGAGCCTTCGGCTGGGTTAAAGAAATGTGATCTGGCAGGGCGTGGTGGCTCAGCGCTTTGGAAGGCCAAGGAGAGAGGATTGTCTAAGCCCAGGGGTTCAAGACCAGCCTGGGCAAATTGTTGAGCCCTCATTTCTCCAGTAAATCACAAAAACTAGCCGGGCTGGTGGCATGCATCTGTAGTTCTAGCTACTTGGAAGACTGAGGTGGAAGGATCACCTAAGCCCAGCAGGTCGAGGCTGCGGTGGCCGTGAGCATGCCACTGCACTCCACCCTGGACGACAAAGAGTGAGACTCCAACTCAGAAAAGAAAAAAAAAAAAGAAATGTGATCCAACACATGTGAATAATCCCACCAATATATGCAACGTAAACCTGAGAATAAGGACACAAAGCCGGGTGCAGTGGCTCACACCTGTAATCCTGGCAAACTGGGATGCTGATGTGAGAGGATTGCCTGAACCCATGGGTTCGAGACCGGCCTGGGCAATTGGTAAGACCTCATCTCTACAATAAATCAAAAAATCAGTTGGGCATGGTGGTGCTTGCCTATAGTTTCAGCTTCTTGGAAGGCTGAAGCGGAAGAATTGCCTGAGCCCAGTAGGTCGAGGCTGCGGTGGCCATGAGCGTGCCACTGAACTCCAGCCTGGGTGCTAAAGTGAGACTCTGAGTCAAAAATAACAATAATAATAATAATAACAGGGTATAGCAGTCACTTGGTGCCTGCCCACCACACCAACACACCAATGAAGGGCACGGACAGTGGGTAGGCACAGAAAAAGGCACACATGGCTTCCGAGGGCCAGGCACAACTGTGCCCAGCTGGGGAGACATGAATCATGGCTTTGAGGCAGGCCCTGAAGCCTGGGAAGGGTCTCTCAAGCACCCCTCATCAGAGGCTGGGCCCACAAGCTGAGGAGACCATCTGCTGCTTGTGCCTGCTGAGCACCTTTCCCTTCCATGACAGGTCGTGCTGTCCCTTGGGAGCTCCCACAGGAGTCACAGGCCACAGCTGCCATCAGAGTCCCGGTGCTTGACTGGCTCAGGGATGGGCAGGTGAACCAACATGGCCCAATGAGAGCCTGGTCTGGGACTTCTGGTAAAACCATGAAAGAGGCTCTCCCACAAGGATGCTCAGCTGGTGGGCAATGCCAAAAATGCCAGACCACCAAGGACAGAGCCTTCCTGAGACGAGATCCAGAGGAGAGCAGAGCTGAGACAAGGCTGGGGTCCTCATGACACTGACACTGACTCAGGGCACTACTTACACTGTACTTCACAGGTTCACCACTCAATCTCTTCGGTCTTGAGTTGGGTTTCTGTCTTGAAATCACAACAGCCCTGGCTATTAACCTAGTCCATTTGGACACCTTTTAGTCAAACTGGTCACAGGGTGTCTAGACAAGACACATGGTCATCACAAGTGGACTTCTATTAAAATCACTCTCTAACAGCTGATTTTCACAGACTGAAGACTCCAGAGAGCAAAACCACATTCTCCCTACTCATAAAGTTACCTTTTATAAAAATTACTTATATTGACTAGGCATGGTGGCTCACAGCTGTAATCCCAGCTCTCTGGGAGGCCAACACGAGAGGATCGCTTAAGGCCAGGAGTTGGAAAACAGCCTGGGCAACATAGCAAGACTCCACCTCTGAATTTACTTATTTATTTATTTAATTTTTTGAATCGGATTCTCACTCTGTCACCCAGGCTGGAGGACACTGGCATGCTCCTGGCCACCGCAGCCTCGACCTGCTGGGCTCAGGTGATCTGCCTCAGTCTTCCAAGTAGCTGGAACTACAGGCATGCACCAGCATGCCAGGCTAATTTTTTGATTTATTGTAGAGATGAGGTCTCGCCAAGTTGCCCAGGCTGGTCTCAAACCCATGGGCTCAGGCACTCCTCTCACCTTGGCCTCCCAAAGTGCTAGGATTATAGGTATGAGCCCGGCACACCTCTGAATTTAAAAAAGAATTATATTAATAAACAACAACAGCCCCTTCACTTAGAATAAGAAAGTCACTGATGCAATTATTTCTTCCCAAACAGCCTGGCAAAAAGATTTATGTAAATAGCCAAGTAATTGCTGACCTGTAATGCAGACTATGTATAGAGTCTTTCCCAAGATATTGCAGTACTTGCTATTCCAAGTGTTGTGCAAACTCTCAAGCCCTACCCTAGCCCTATTACATCAAAATATCTGGAGTGGGGCCCAGCTGTCTGTTTTAGCAGGCTCAAGTTTGAGAAATACTGCTCTAAGGCAGTGATTCTCATCGTCAGCTGCACAGACTGACCATGGCTGCCTGGGCCCCAGCTGGAGACTCTGGGCTGTGGCTGGCCTGAGATTCAAAGCTTCCTTTGTGATTCTAATGTACAACCAGGATTGTGAAGCCAGCTCTATGTCATTTTCCTACTGCATTATGGTTAGAATCTGTATCCCTTCCCCCAGGCAGTTGGGGTAAATAAACCAGTGTTACCACCAGCTGCATCCATTTTCTACACTCAGGAATTCAAGTGGTGCTTTCAGTTGATTGAAGCATCCCAAAAAACAGATTCCACAATCAACTTCAACGCATTTTGGCCCTGACCCAGTTTATCTCAACAAGGAAGAGAAAGAAGCTCTTGTTCTCTGCATCTAAATAGCAGTGGGGGCATATGAAGCCAGTGGCCCAGAAAGATCAAAAGAGGCAGGACTGTGAACTTTTTTTGTAAAGAGAAATTTGCAAAATTGGGGTGCTTTTCAATTTCTGAAAAAAGGTTTTTAAAAAAATGTGATTGCTTTTTTTTTGAGACAGGGTCTCACTGTGTTGTTCAGGCTGGAGCACAGTGGCACAATCACAACTCACTGCAGCTTTGACCTCCAAGGCTCACTTCAAGTGAACCTTTTATCTTAGCCTCCCGAGTTGCTGGGACTACAGGACATGCCACCACACCGGTTATTTTTCTTTGATGTTTTGTAGAGATGAGGTCTCACTGGGTTGCCCAGACTGGTCTTGAACTCCTGGGGCTCAAGCTATCCTCTCACCTCAGGCTCCCAAAGTGCTGGGATTACAGGCGTGAGCCACCGTGCCTGGTCTGCTTTTGCCTTTAATATATTATTTCTTCTCAGGCCTCAAGGTACAGAGCAATGTCGTATCAAAGAAAAACCAAATACACATACCAGCATTCTAAAAACCAGTTCAGATAATCAAGTAGAAGTGAACATAAAGTGAGGCCTATCATTACTGGTGACCGTGAGTGAATAATCTCAATGAGGCGAGTCTTTGTACATGCAAGCAGAACAGGAAAAACAAAAAACTGTTCTTAATAGTAATACTACCCTAAGAAAATGCCTGCATTTGCTCACCTCATGAGGAGGCCTACAGCAAGCCTTATGACTTTATGTTAGAAAATCTGTAATTGGTTTGGAAACTGGGAGCAGAGGTCCTCAAATTACTTCGTGACTCTTTAGTGTATGGACAGTCAGTCTATCAGACGCCCCCACCCCCCAAGTTTGGCCAGGAAGTCGACTGCATACCTGTGGGGTTCCCGGGGTTGATGATGCAGAGTACTTTGGGATCACAGTGGTCCTTGGCCTCCCGCACTGCCCGCCGGAGCTCATGCACGTTCAGGGCCCAGCAGTTCTCCTCATCCAGGTAGTAGTTCACTTGAACAGCATCGAGCTCAGAGATGACCGCTGAGTACAGGGGGTACTGCGGGATGGGGATCATCACACCTGTCCGTGACTTGCCACCCCCTGATACAAGGATCTTCAGGATCGTCTGCAACCAAGAAGTCACATCTAGAAAGGAGCTGACGGGCAGACAGGCCCCCAGGCCCCACCCAGCCTTCTCCAGGGGCCCCGCTGCCGGCTTCCAGTGCCGCCTGTCAAGTTGCTTCACTGCCCTGAGTCTCCGTTTCCTGTAAAATAAGGGCTGGTGCAAGGAATAAGCAAAATAAAATGTTTTAAGGTTCTCAGCACAGTGTCTGACAATACTTGGTAGCATTTTTAATACTAAGAAAGGAGTTCCCTTGGCTGGGCGCAGTGGCTCAAGTCTGTAATCCCAGCACTTTGGGAGGCCAAAACGAGAGGATTGCCGGAGCTCAGGGGTTCAAGACCAGCCTGGGCAACTTGGTGAGACCTTGTCTCTACATTAAATCAAAAAATAAGCCAGTCATTATAGCATGCGTCTGTAGTTCCAGCTACTTGGAAGGCTGAGGCAGAAGGATTGCCTGAGTCTAGCAGTTCAAGGCTGCAGTGGCTGCGAGTGTGCCACTGCACTCCAGTCTGGGCAACAGAGTGAGAGTCTAACTAAAAAAAAAAAAAAAGAAAGTATTTCCCGAATTAGCTCTGTCTCAATTTTTCTGACCCCACCCCCGTAATCCTGATTTGGTATGTCTGGGGTGGGGCCGAGGAATCTGTCTTGTAGGTAGGTATCAGTGCTTAAGGTTGGAAAGACTTGAACAGGGGACTGTTAAAATGGGATGAAATACCCATCTCTCGCCACCAGGTGGCACTCTGCCCCGTTTGCAAAGCTGAGCAGGACGCGTTAGTAGGATTCCTGAGAAACCAAGCCATGGGAATCCTGTCGGGTCCTGGTGTAGACAGCAATAGTTCATTGAATTAATAAGCCAAACCCTCTGCAGGGAGTCTCCACCTTACACACAGGCACAGGTCCTTTCTCAGGCTCAGTTCTTTGCTGCACGAATGCCACCAGGTTGACAAGTGCAATGGCCTGATTCTTTTCACTGAAACTGCAGACATCTCCCTCCTCTCCTCCAGGGCCTCAGCCCAGATGGGGCTTCTCTGGGAACCACGAGGGGCCTTGACAGCAGAAGACAGTGGGAGATGCTGTGGTTGGGAGCTGGAGCCCTAACATCCCAGTGACTGAAGAACTGACTCAAAGCAGGCAGACCGTGTAATGTCTCTGGGCCTCAGTTTCCTCCTGGGCTCCAGGAAGAGTTTGTTGTATTTGAAAGGCTTTAGGAAAGGGCTTGAAGGTTAGAAAACAAAGATAGCCCCATCTGAGATGGGGTCAGACCATATGCTCCCTGAATGGGGAGAATCAAGGAGTTGACAGCACCCAGCACCGTGCCCAGGAGGAGCTAAATAGAAAGAGGCCCTGGTCCCCCCAAGCCCAGGATTGCAGACTCCTCCAGCCAAGCAGCCATCGATGCCAGCCCTCCCCCACCCGTCCATGTCTGATGTCCAGCCCCAGCCCCGCATGTCTCACCTCCTAAATGCTCCCTCACATCTACTGGGCCCCTCCCAGTCAAACTTTAAACTAAAGAACATAAATCTAATTGTTCCCCTCTTTCTTCACACCCCTCAGTGGCTCCCTGTTGTTTGTGACCCAAATCCTCCAGTTGCCTCCCGGCCCCAATTTTGCTAACTCTGTCCCTCGCTGCATGTATTCATCCACCCTGACTCCATTTCCCCAATAATCTGCCTTCTTCCAGCCCAAGGCCACTGACCTTCAGTGCAGAACACGCTCCCTCTCTCGCCTGCCCCAGCTCACTCCTGCATGGCCTTCAGGCCTGTCTGCCCAACCTTCCTTGGAGAAGGCTTTCTGCCCCCCGCCCCACCAGGTCAGAGTCCCTGATGTATGCTCTCTTTACTGCAGAAGAGAGACTGAACGCTCATGATGTGACATTAACTGATGTGATATCAGTGCTGATCTGCTCCAGTGCTAGTCACTAATTTACGTGATATTCACACTGGTCTGCTCTGGCCATGCAGGCAGAGGCCAAATGATGTGTCTGGTTACCCACTGTCTCCCCAGCACTAGGCATGGGACCTGGCAGAGGAGGAACTTCATCACATGCCAAAGGACAGAGAGGCCCATGGCACCCTGGAGTGCCCTAGCATCTCTGTAGCTACACCTGCTGGGGGGAATCAAGGTTGCAGCAGTCTCTGGGCTCACAAAGACCAAGAGGCAGGGACTCAGGCTCCCAGGGCCAGGCATACCAGACCTCCCTACCCCAGCTGTCTCCCTGCTAGCCAGTTCAGATGCTCAGTCCTAACATGCAAGGTTGTTCTTCATGTGGGTGAACAATGCACAACACTGAGCCACTCTCACACGCACAGAAATGCCGTCGCTAGCTCCCGTGGTCAGGTATATATTGTCTGGGTCTGCGGGCACGCCACCATCCCTCCTGGTGATATAGGCAGCCACATCTTCACGGATGCAGTTGACACCCTGGCTGGCACTGTAAGAACCTGTAAGACAGCAGGCAAAACAGTGACCTAAGTTGTAGGAAGTCTGGCTCCACACAGTTGTGTGACATCTATATAATTAAGTGAGGGTTGAGAGCAGGACCCCAGGCGGGGGCTGCACTGGGCTCTGGGGTTGTGGCAAGTTGCTGAGCCTCTACTCTGGGCTTTGTGCACCCAATGCCCACCTCACCTGCTCCTGCACCCACCCACCCCTCCACTCATGCGCCCATCTGCCTGATATTGACTGTTCAACATTATTCTAGACCCTGACTTCTAATCAGTCAAATGGTGTCCATACCCATTTTAGGCACCCCCTGGGATGTATACATGTGCTGTGACATGTATAGTGTACGTCCTTAGAGGTGGAACTCATATGCTTTCATCACTGTTGCCTATACACAGTTTCACAGAACTTGAGAGGATGGGTCGACAGTTGTGCTCCAAGGAGCCCACCTGCCAGTCCCAGGGGCCCAGAGCCCAGACAACACCAGCCATAGATCCCTGGGCTACTGGGTATGTCCCCAGCCCATATAAACAATGTCCTCAGGCCACCCTGAGGACATTGTTTATATGAAGTTCAAACACAGGCAAAACTAGACTGGGCACAGTAGCTTATGCCAACACTCTGGAAGGCTGGGGGTGGGAGGAACACTTAAGCCCAGGAGTTCAAGACCAGCCTGGGCAACATGGTGAGATTTCGTCTCTACAAAAAAAAAAAAAGAAAAAAAACAGGTAAAACTAATTTATGGTACTGGAAGTGAAATAACTACTCTGAGGACAGGAAGTATTGACAGGAATTATTGACTAGAAAGGAGTAAAAAGATGACTTTTGGGGGGCTGGAAATGTTCCATATCTTGATCTGGGTGGGGGGGTTACATGGGTGTGTACATTTGTAAAATCTATCAGAGCTGCACATTAATATTGATGGATTTTACCTTATGTTTGTTATACCTCACTAATTTTTTTATGTTTTTAAAATAAACTGGAAATATGTTCTTGTACATGCACAAAAACTTGACTCAACTTAGGAGGTGAATTTTCTGGGGAAGTACACCAGAAGGCTGGAGCTGCGGGGTGGGAGGCAGGCTCTTAACTTCCATCCTTCTGAATTTTATACACGTTTACTTTATTTTACTTTATTTTTTTTGAATCAGAGTCTCACTCTGCTGCCCAGGCTGGAGTGCAGTGGCAAGCTCATGGCCACTGCAGCCTCGACCTGTCAAGTTCAGGCAATCCTTTCACCTCAGCCTTTCAAGTAGCTGGAACTATAGGGGTGCGCCACCACACCCGGCAATTCTTTGATTTACTGTAGAGATGAGGTCTTGCCAAGTTGCCCAGGCTGGTCTCGAACCCCTGGGCTCAGGCAATCCTCTCGCCTCTGCCTCCCAAAGTGCCGGGATTACAGGCATGAGCCACCATGCCCAGCCAATTATATACACATTTAAACAAAACCAGCCCATTCCTTCTATGGTTATGGCAAAACTACCACCAGGAGGCAGGATGGAGCTCTAGCAAGCAGCAGCTTCTTCCCAGGGACTCAGCTTGTAGTAGTCCAGGCCTGGCATCCAGGGGAAACACAGTCATATCCTCTAACTGAAATGCCCTGGATCTGCGTCATCCTCTTCGTGCAGCATTGGGCTTGCCCTCTGCATCCGACCAGCTGTTAAGCTCAGGGTGCCAAGTAGCACACATTAGCATGTACCACCTCTGGGTGGTGGATATGAGAATGTCCGTTACATTAGTTTGGGTGTTCTAATACATTCATTATTCTGTGAATGTGGAAGGTGCAGATGCTGGGGTGAGAGCCCTCTTTGTAATGTTTGTTTCTTTTTTTTTTTTAATTTTTATTTTAAAGATGTAGGGTACAATTGGGGGTTAGATATACAAATGGCCATTGTACAGGCAAAGTTTGGGCCTCACTTTTTTTTATTATAAAGATGTGGGGTACAATTCAGAGTTAGGTATACCAACATTGATTATACAGGTACCCTGTTGATGAGGTGTGCCCCTCCCTCCCCTAGTAGTTTCCCTCAGTTGCCAATCCCACCCCACTATAATGTTTGTTTCTGCCAGATCAGACAGTGAGCTTCAGAAGCACAGAAACTCCATTGGCCTCATTCACCAGTGTCCCTCTATGCTCAGAACAGTGCCTGGTATATGGTGTGTGCTAAGGGAGAGGTACGCAGGTATACACAGCTTCACCTCCCCTTGCATGTGCTAGGTTTCACCTCCACCCTACTAAAGATCCAGAACGCACCCAGGAACAGAATGACTCATCAAATAGAAAACAAATAAAGCCCTGGGCAAGAAATAATTTTTAAAAGCATAACAACAATGTCCTGGGCAGCCAGGTGCAGAGGCTCACACCTGCAATCCCAGTACTTTGGGAGGCAGAGGTGAGAGGATTGCCTGAGCCCACAGATTCGAGACCAGCCTGGGCAATGTGGCAAGACCTCATCTCTACAATAAAACAAAAAATTAGCCAGGCGTGGTAATGTGTGCCTGTAGTTCTAGCTACTAGGAAGGGTGAGACGGAAGAATTGCCTGAGCCCAGCAGATCAAGGCTGCGATGGCCGTGAGTGTGCTACTGCATTCCAGCATGGGTGACAAAGTGAGACTCTGACTCAAAAAAAAAAAAAAAAAAAAAAAGAAAGCCCTGGGTGAGCTTCAAGACTTTGTGTGCAAATTTAATAACCTCCACTTGCGTCAGGGTGGCCTGTAGTAACATGCTCCATTTCCTTTTACTTCTATGAGCAGGAAAGTGCACTGGTTGCCCAAGGCTCAGTTAACAAAGAGCAATATCCCCATGCCACTGTAACAGGAAGGCCACACCATGCCTCCCGCTGCAATGGTCAGGGTCTGGCAGTGACCCCACAGAGGTAAGGCTTCTCTATACCTAACAAGAGGCTTTAACCGGGCACGGTGGCTCACGCCTGTAATCCCAGCACTTTGGGAGGCAGAGGTGAAAGGACTGCCTGAGCCCAGGGGTTCGAGACCAGTCTTGGCAACTTGGTGAGACCTTGTCTCTACAATAAATCAATAATTAGCTGGGTGTGGTGGTGCATTCCTATAGTTCCAGCTTCTTGGAAGGCTGAGGTGGAAGGATCGCTGAGCCCAGTAGGTGGAGGCTGCGATGGCTGTGAGAGAGCCACTGAACTCCACCCTGGGTAACAGTGAGACTCCAACTCAAAAAAATAAAAGTGGGGTGGGGGATGGAAGGGGTGCTTTAGCATACATGTCTCAATCTTCCTTGCAAGCCCAGGAGATAGAAACAAAGTACGTCCGAGTTGAAGAATGAGGGGAGGGATAGAGCACAGTGGCTCACGCCTATAATTCCTGTACTTTGGGAGGCTGAGGTGAGAGGACTGCTTGAGATCAGGAGTCTGAGACTAGCCTGGTCAACATAGCAAAATCCCACCTCTACAAAAAATTTTAAAATTAGCGGGGTGTGGTGGCATGTGCCTATAGTTCCAGCTACTCTGGGAGGCTGAGGCAGAAGGACTGCTTGAGCCCAAGTGGTAGAGGCTGCAGTGAGCCAATATCAGGCCACTGCACTCCAGCTTGTGCAACAGAGTAAGACCCTATCTCTTTGGGTGTTTTTGAGTTGGAGTCTCACTCTGTTGCCCAGGCTGGAGTACAGTGGCATGCTCATGGCTCACAGCCACTGCAGCCTCGACTTGATGGGCTCAGGCGATCCTTCTGCCTCAGCCTTCCAAGTAGTTGGAACTACAGGCAAGCGTCACCACACCCAGCTAATTTTTTGATTTAGTGTAGAGACAAGGTCTCACCATGTTGCCCAGGCTGGTCTTGAACCCGTGGGCTC